CGATGTAAAGTTTGCATATACTTCTCTAAATGACGTATTTCTTTATGCATTAATGTCTTTAAGGTGCCGTTTCAGTCCCTTTTGGGACAGTGCGTTTAAAGCAACCTCAGTTTCTTAATGTGAGCATACTCTAAATTGTATGGCACTTGTTTACGACTGTTAAGCATAACAAACGATTTTTATTACGCTAATTCCAGGAATCGACTGAGGAAGGTGTGATCTCTTCGTGTACGGTTTCGTCACTAAAGTATCATGAGGGCGACATGGAATTCAGCGATGCAATTTGTTCTCTGGCAGCTGACACATTCGTATGCGCTGTTGGACCCTCCCTGACGGCCTTACTGGTCAGTGAACAGCAGTGTACGGTTGTGAGCCGTACTGTAATTAGCGGTGAGTGTATTTTGTTCTTGAGCGAGTTTGAACCGCGCTTCAATCGTACTATATGCAGATCACCCCGTAATGGTTACGGCTTTGCAAGGCTCTTGGTCAGATTCTGTGGTAGCTGCTGCTTTATCGGACTATCGCGTTATCATTGCTGATATTAAAGCGCAAACGGTAATTTGTTTCTTTTTTTTCCAATTGGCACTTTTTGCTTTTCATATTTCTTAGAAAGGAAGCAAGTTTATTACATACATGCATTTTCCATGTGTTTTTCTGATACTTCTTTATACAAGTTTTACTAGTACTGCTCCCTCGTTCCTAGCCATTTTTCTACTCGTTAAGCAAACTATGAGTCCATTTTGTTATGGCATCACAAAACCAACGGATAGATGGTGTAGTTGCATATGAGGATTTAGAAGAAATTGGCATGCGACAAATGCCCTGTAAATCTAAAAGGGCATCAGGAATATGTTATTCTATACCGGGTATCATAATCTAGGTTTTGTTGTAGTAGTTGCAAAACATCATGGATATTTTCTTTCTTTCTATGGCGAGGAGAAGGTTCCTCCTTGTGCTTATTTGTCACACTGAACAGTCAGCTGTCAGCTGAATCATGGCGGACTGCAGCCATAAGCGGCGCTGCATCGGAGACCGTGCCGTAGATCTCATCCATTGTGGTATGATCACACAAGAATAACATGCTGTCCATGCTGTTCACAGGTCAGCAACAACTTGCTACTGTTTTTCGGCTTGCTGCATCGAAGCAAGGTGGTGTAAATTTTTTGGAGTTAGCCGTTAAGATAAACTTACTCCTCTCCTGTTATTCGATCGCTGCACTCCTGAAAGTCTAAGCCACTTCCATGTTGCCGTTGTAAGTATACCTCCTCCCTGCCTTTACCTGTTGATTGACTATTTTTATCAGGAGGAAAGGATTTTCCTTGTATGGTTCAATCATAAGTGCTCCTTTCTATCCTCCTAAAAAAATGATGTTTGTATCGCTCATTTTGGAAATTTGTAACGTCTACATTAGCTTTTCACTGTCGTTATCTCATTAGCTACTGCTTCCTGGCTACCTGTGCAACTGCCAAAAATTTACCTAACAAAGCGCTTTATCATACTTTGCTCTGACATTCGATCACTTGCCTTCATCTTTACTCGGTTACCATTACGTGGAATTTAGATGCTGAGCATATATTTGTGCAAAGCATTTTCTGAGTATAGTAAATATTGCAAGATGTAGAGCAGCTGAATAGATAATGGTTCGGTGAGTGCGTCTCATATTTTGTCTTTCGTGGTACATGGGCTTCTTTTGTTTAGGAGCATGAGGTTGTGCCATAGCTCTATGTTACCCACGTTTTGTGCTTATTCCTGGTTCTGTATGTATAACAATTGTTGCTGGTTATCCTTGAACCTGAATTACGTTTCTTCGATTTTGCGGTAAGAAACTGGTTACCTTCTTCAAAATATGGCTTAAACACTTATTGAGCCATAAGGTCAAGTAGCTTTACGCATTTCCATAATTTTCAATGCAGCAGCTTTGTGCAAAAGCTGAATCATTTAACTGATGGGTTCAAAGTGCACACTTGCTCGTTAGTTCAGCATGGGTGGAGGGGGGTGCGACCAGGGATTGATTAGTAAAATTATACACATTGTTGAGGGAATGAAAAACGGTTGCTTATATTATAAGTAGTTTACATTGTCTTCACGGACTGTGCTATCATAAAGAGCCGTTTTTTAATCTTAACTGGCCTACGTCCCCGCAGAGTAGTAAAGAAATGAAAGACTTCTCGGGAATCTGCCTAGCAGCAGGATATTTCGAGAAAAGTTCAGATGCGTTTGAAGGTGTCAGTGTTAATTCCTGGAGAAAATGATAAACTCTTTTTATAATGCCATCAACGGGAGATAATTTTAGAATGAATTAATTATTAGAGAATTATCAGATAAAATCTAGTATGACGTCTCCTTGACTTCTTTAATTAGCTATTAAGTGTATACGTGCGTATTTTATAACGGTTAAAATTAATGCTTCTGTTTCATAGGTTTTATGCCAGTTGCCGAGCTATGTTGCGGTTGCGATAGATCTGTGTTTCAGCTCAGAGTCACACGACCTTTTAGTTTTATACTCGGATGGCGAACTAGTTGAGTTCTGCTCCGATGAAAACCGCTACACTACGTTCTCTCGTACTAAGCTCGAGAAGGCGGTGCAACGTTTCAACTGGAACTGTTCTCCCCTAGGCGTCGTCGCATCCAAGAACCTGCCCAGTTTGATCTGGATCTATGGCTGTAACCAGTGCCTGGTGCTCGATCGGAAAAGGGTATGCCATTGTGAAAATTTTGTCATGTTAATTGATATCCAAGCAGCCGGCGTCGGAAAGATCCGTTAAGCAAACATTGAGTGTGCTGCCCAATATATTTCTGTTCGAACCATTCGTAGTCACAAAATGCCGTCTGTGTTTAATTTCATCTGCTTGTTGACTTTCTGAAATTTACTCTGGTTTACATCTTTATAACAGTAATCGTTGTCTGATTATCTTCGTCATCAATTATTGCTCTGGGTTCAGTTAGAAACCATAGGCTACCGTTGTAACAGAGAATGGTGGCTGTTTATGAACAAATGAGGGAGGGAATGAGTAACCGAATAACTAAATTAAATTGTCTAAAATAACTGAGAATAGTGTAGCGAATTGATAAGTACTTTTGGATCAAAGAATCCACTTTAAAAGAGCTGGTGAGAGAACAGGGAAGAACCGTGAAAATTTTTAATGATAAAATATCAAAATCAGAACTTTATCAAACTAGTTAAACGATTGATTTACCTGGAATAAAGCGCATTTCCACTTCTTAGGAATATCCGCGAATGAGGCGTAGAGGAAATCGCTAGAGATTTTCTTCCAACAACATGTGAACACGTATTACAGACTGTAACGCTTAAGCATTCAGATAAGTTTCAAAATAGGTTTTTATTTTAATGCATGCTTGATTCTGTATTGTCGTCATCTAAGGCTGACAGAGCCGAAACATTAGAGGAGCTCTGATTTATATTTGACCTTTAATATTGCATCTAGGTTTAATCTGATATAAATACGTCCAAGTGGCGTGGCCGAAATGACGGCAGACAGCAGCGTACGCACGTCATAAATCAGGTTATTATGGCGAGAGGTCTTTCATTATTTGGTAATTAAAACTTTCGACGTTGCACAATGCAACTCAGAAATCTTTTCCATTCCTCACTGAGAGCGTTGTGGTAGAAAGACTCTCAATAGTAATTGAAACGCGGATTTTGTATTATGTTACAGTAATGTGTACTTTCATAAGTTTTTTCTGACCTGTAAAAACGATTATGCTTTTATTGTTGCCACTGCACTAAGTTATTCTTGTGCTTAATTTAGTACTTTGTCATGCACAACCCTTTTTTGACTTGAGGTTCTCTTCCAGTGTGGGAAAATTAAGCTCAATTTTTAAGTCAGTGAGATCCCCTTTACATCATAGATAATTACGACGAAACTATTGCTCAAGCTCAAGGAGAATAGAAAAGCAATAATCAGTTCACAGTGACGTATGTCGGTGTAACATTTTTACCCAGTGGTTTATTCATATTTAAACAACCGTCATTCGAAGTATGGTCAAGACCAGTTTGGCAAAACGAGTTTACAGACGCTAATGCAATATGCATCATGAAAACTATGATCCACTGTTGTGATCAGAACATAGCATGGTTTTAACAAGTAGACAGCCAGTGCGGTACTTTCGATGACATGCCTTATTTACTTGGCTGCTGTAAATGATTCCTCTTTCCAGGATTAAGCGAAATCTTGAAATATAATTTTTAAGATCAATAAAGGAATGGTAAATTATATCCGTTAAACTTATGCATCCCGTTAGGGGATAACGTTAATATTTCATTTTTAGATGGTAAATATTGCTGGCAGTGAAAGAGCACCGTGGTTTCGTGGCACTGACCGTTTCAGTTACCTCATTACGCTGCTCGTTTTGTCTGGCAGTGAAATGATGACCGTTGAAATCGCTCATGACAAGTTATTACAGTCCCTACCGCCGGTGCTGAAAAAGAAAGGCTTTGGCACCGGCTGATCAGAAACAGCCATCACATGGCATGATATGTTTGTTTTGTACGTCTGCATCGGTCAACAAAGTAAAGGTTCTATCGTGCTTATCTTCAAAGTCTTCTTCCGGATCGAATAAATTCATCAATATTTCTTCTCTGTAAATCAGTCTCTCGTCCACATGGTATGTGGATGACAGATAGGAACACAATGCGAGATCGCATACCAGGTGGAAAGCTATCTTGTTTCTTGTACTCACTACGGCAGCCACGAAGATTTCTGATGAATATCGGTCGAGATTAATTATAAGACTGGTTTTTCTTCTTCGACTAACTCCGTTCACAATCGCGAAACATTGATGATCGTTGCATCTTCAACTTTTTGACCCCTTGCTTTTCTACACGGTACTTTAGCGGTACAACTTGGATCCTTTAAATTTGCTAAGGTAACGTTGTCTTGCTTTTTTAGAACAGTGTCTATGAGAAAGGCAGAAGTACTTTCTTCTCAAACTCAGATGGACGAATATTTATGCAGCAGCTGAGTATATAAATTGAACTAGAACAGTATGAAATTTTATCATTATGCATTTTATAGTAGTAGACGTTTTTTAACATTTTCAGAAGGATCTAAACACATGCTTTGGAAGTTAAGAATTATCAATCTAGTTAATTTAAATAGTTTTTTCGTTTAATTATTTTAACATCTCAGTTGGCTTTCAGGGATTGTGCAACCACTGTTGAATTCGCAAATCTTTTACATTTCAAGGTAACAAGCCAGCTGAACATAGAATCCAATGTAGTGTAGTTCCATTTTTTGGATGACCGTTTTAATGCTGAACATCACGAGCATTAAGGCCGGATTTAAAACAGATTTATACACGTTCAAATTATATTCAACAGGTAAGTGTAAAGATTATTGAAGACAACAGATATGTTTGAAGAGGTGCAAAAATTCGATTGTCTGATACAACAGACTTAATTACGCAACAGACCTAACTATGAAATCAGCAGAAGAGTAAACGTGGTAAGGAACATGTCTGAATGTTTATCGCGTAGAGGCTGCACTACTGCTTGAAACGAAAGACCTTTGCTTCCACTGCTAATGTACGGATGAGAAGCATTAACCACAAGCAAGGATATTGCAAGCGTAAAGGATGTAGGAAATCATCAAAAAACGAAGTGAAAAAGATAACAGCACCAAGAGAAGTTAGCGAACGTATTGTATCAGCGAAGAAGTTTAATCGGCAATGGAATGAAGGCGTTGTAAATAGAACAGACCACTGCTTGACAAAAAGACATTGAAACTAATTTGAAGAAGCAGAAAACGTTCAAAATGAACGATCTTTAATTGGAGACGATATGAGCTCAGCAACTTCGACCAAAGTTAACACAAACTTTTCTGGCAAAATCTTTGAGTAAACAACAGTAAATCGGAAAAAGCTTATGTTGACGGTGACATGACCGATTACTGCATCGAGGACATAATGATGGAAGATTCACCTGGTACTGCTAGAGCTGAAATACCATAGAGCCCTTGCTGTTCAACAGACCTCCCCCCTGATGTTATTAAAATGATTAGAAAGTAATTGCTGGCATACAATTCACCATAAGTTAAATTATATTAGTAAAAACAAATCTAAATCAATGACAAAGTTCGAAAATTTGGCACCATTTTAAAAATGGCGACGACTTACAGTCGCGCATAACAAAGAACGGTCTAAAATGATCACTCGGTAAGTACGGATTCGCTGTACACCGCAAACAGGCTGACGCAGTAAGCCGTATCTAACCGGAAACAAACGTGAACAATGACGATCAGATAAATAAAAACGACTTACACTTACAACGGCAACCGGTAACAGCAACTAACAGAATAGAATTTGAATACCTAAACGGCAATGAGCAATTAAAAGTTGCATCAGTGGCAATCGATCGACCGATGCACAAAATGAAACAAACGCGTTTGCTGCACAAACTAGCGAAACAAGCGAGAAGAACGTACATTACGCAATAAACCGCCCGGAAATTGAAATCAACGCAATGAATTATCCATATCTACAAAACTAGCGTAACGCAAACAATGGCACAATTAGGACTAGAAACGTCCACGTTGTTTATATGTTCCATTGGGCTGATTCGGCATCTTCTTCGTCCGACTCAGCGGGTGACCCGGGAGTACTCACTGATGGTGTCGGCGGTTCAGAGAGTGGTCGAGGATACCGGAATCTCGCTGCCTGCAAATCGGTATTTAATAGGCATGAAGATAAGTAAAGACAGTCTGAACAGCAGCGTATGAGGAACGTTCAAAGTACTTAGAAAATGCTTTTCCAAGCTCTTGCCCAACAGAAGTTGCGCAGATATCCTAGCCACTGTCATGTCAACATTACTAACGTCTTCGTCAGCATTCCAATTTTAGGGAAGTTGTTTTTAATCTTGGTCATAACAATATCAGCAGCAGAAACTGTAGGAAGGTCTCCGATCGACTGACTACGACTCTATTATAATCCAAGTTCTTCAAGACTGCGTATTCTATCGAAGCAGGAAAAGAGTATAGAGGAGCAGTACTTTCTTCCTTTTTTAATAGTGACGCTTAGTAGTGCACAGTAACAAACAAATGAGCAGGTTCTTTTCAAGATGCAGTAAGCAACAGGTT